AAGAGACCGGTTCGGGTCTTGGATAGGCGGGATCAAGTCTTGCAAGGCAAGACCATTTCCTTGGTAAAAGTTTTGTGGAAACATCACGGGTGGAGAAAGCCACTTGGAAACGTGAGTTGAATGTCCAAGAGAAATGTCCGGATCTATTTGTGGATGTTTGAGTATATGTTATATATTCTATTGTGTTGTTAAATTTTAAGAGCATTGAATGTGTCTTAAGTTGTAAAACGTTGTATATGTTTCGGTTTATGGAAGCATTGTGGAACTTGCCTTGAAATGGAAGTTTATTATAACATCGTATATGTTGAATGTGTTGTAGAAATGGAGATATATCATAAACCTTGAATGTGATATAGAATTGTAAATAATGTATATTAGAAAATTGTTGGATTTGGAAGGAATGCATGTTGATAATGCATGTTGTAGTATATATTGTGAAATGCCTCTTGAATAGAGATGGAATGATCAGTAATGGGTCAAATTATTGAATATTGAAATGTAATATTGTTGGAAATTGAGGAAAACTTGTTTTTGAAAACTTGTACCTAATTTCGGGGACGAAATTCTTTAAGAGGGGGAGGTTATAGCGATCCCGGGTTTTACCCCTTTATGTATAGTGTTCCGGACTTATGTTCCGTAGTATTGGTTGTTGTTATATCTTCTTGTTATCCTTTAATTCCTTATTTATGAGTTATAGGATGTGTTAGACAAGTTTGTTACAGGTTGGGTGTGATTGAGAGCAAATGGTTGTTGCCCAGATTTTGGTGTCTTCGCTCGAGCGAGGACTTTGTCGCTCGAGCGAGCTCTTTGTTTTAGATCCTTCGCTCGAGCGAGAGTTGAGTTTTGTATCTGGTGTCTCGAGCGAGAAGTCCTTCGCTTGAGCTTGCGTTTGCGTCTAATTCTGGACCTGAGAGCTGTGTATCTTGGCTCGAGCGAGGTGTATGTTTCGAGTTTCTTTGCTCGAGCGAGCATTCTGTCGCTCGAGCGTGCTTCTGGGTTGCAGACCTGAAACATCTCATTCTTGGCTCGAGCGAGGCTTTCTACGCTCGAGCGAGAATTCTTTGTGTCTGGTCGCTCGAGCGACCAATCTTTCGCTCGAGCGAGCCTGTGTTATATCAGTAGGCAGCAGCGGGTAAACACTTCACTTTTTCATCTCTTTCATTTTCAAAACCCTAGATCCGAGCTCTCTCTCTCTCTACACACCTTCTCTCTAGGGATTGATCTACTTCTAGTGAGTTTCTAGCCTAGTCTTTTTGTAAGAAAGATAGAGGGTCGCGAGGGCTTGCTTTTAATCTAAAAAATCTCGGATTTGGAGCACTTTGGTTTTTGGTTATCTTCTCCTTTGAGCTTCTAATTTCGAGGTAGGGATATCCTACTCCATCTTATGAGCTTTGTCTTTAAATTTTAGCATTTTGATATGTTGGAGTTGTTGGGTAATTTTGGAGAAGTTAGGGTTTTCTATGTAATTTAAAAAAATGAAGGTTTTCAGATTATTAAAGCCTATGTGTATGTGAGTTGTTGAAATGGAATTAATGTTGTTACATTGGTGAAACCAAACCTTAGGGTTGACTTGTAAAATAGGGAAAATGCCCTAATTATTATGATAAATTAATTTGTATAATTAATTTTGGAAAATGAGAAATTGAGTTGAGAATAATGAAATTGGGAGATTTTGGGATTAAATGGTGTGGTTGGATTAATTTATCACTCACCTATGAAAATGTTGATATTATATCCATTTAATGCATTTATGTTCTGTTTAGAAATATCTGTTTTGGGCTATCGGTGGAGGATAGTCTTGATTGTTGTAGATATTGCATGTTGATTAGGAAAAACCAAAACTAATCACATTGAGTATGCCATCGAATATGACCGTTGGTACAATACATCAAACTTATGTATTGATTGATCTTGTATATGATATGTGTTTATATACATTGTGTTGTGTGGGAGGAGATAGGGGATGTACTCCATGGTTTAGAGAAAGATAGGGGATGGACTCCTAAACCGGACATTGTTTAGGAGGAGATAGGAGATGTACTCCATTGATACAACAAATATGTGTATCTATTGAAGTATTGATATAGCAAATCTGTATATCATATATGAAATATGGAAGTGTTTGTTTGAGATTGATACAGCAATTATGTGTATCTATTGTGAAGTAAGAAGTGTTTAATACGAGTTGTTATTAAATTATCTGGCCAGATTCTGAGCCACAATTATGAAATGAATTGATAAGTGAAGGAAAATGGAATGTAACATGGACACAAGTGTCATGGAACTATATTGCGATATAATTGGTGTATGAGTGTTAACCATCTATCAAATGCTACTGTTTTAGTCTTTACTTATATTTGGTTTAGTATATCTCTACTAGGCTGTGGCTCACCCTAAATGGGACATCATTTTCAGGTCCAGGTGATATGCCACCTCCAAAGACATAGCTTAGAAGGTCTTAGGAGTTGAAGACTCTTTTTGTTATTTTGTTATCTTTTGTGGTATTACATGTAAATTCAGGTCAAGGGCCTAATATGATGTGAGTTAGTACTCTCTTTTGTGTAACCAAGTGTTGACTTGGAAAGTTGTAAGCCGTTAGACATTTACTTTTGTTGTCAACATGTAATACATTTGTAAGGACTACTCTGATAAATGGAAAGTGTTTATTTCTCTTATATCAATGTTTGTCAAGAATGTGGGGTTTTATGTATTATTTTGAGGGCGTTACACACTCCCTGAGGTTTGTTTAAAATATAGATTGCCCCTTATAGTTTGGAAAATTACAAATACCCTCTTATTAGAATTTTTTATTTAACAGAATTAATTAAAAAAATAAAATTCATTATTGTTTTCCTATACAATAATTAAATTACCTAAATTATTAATTAAAACATATTTTTAATATCATTAAAAACTGTTAATTGACTTAATATTAATTGACTTGATGATTTATTAATAAAAAGAACAATTTGTTATGAAATTAAAAATCTCAGAGAATGAAATGTAATTTTCAAAATCATAAAGAATGATTCGTATTTTAATCAAATCTCAAAAAATATATTTTTAATTTACCTTTTATTTTATTTTTTTATAAATTAACTAAAAAATAACCCAAAATCCACTTGCCAAACAGGGCCTTTGTTTTATTGGCTTATTTATCTTCTTTTTTTTTCTTTTTTAACCACCAAGCTACCATATAAGAGCATCCCTAACTAATTATTAATTTTTTTATTTAATTTAATATTAAATTTAAGTAAAAAATTTGATTTAATAAAAATTATTTTATCAAATTTTCATCAAAATCTTTTTTAAAAATTCCCATCTTATCTCAAATTTGATAAAAATAATCATTTTCGATGCACTATCTTTTTAAATTTTCATCAAATTTTATTTTAATGAACCGTTTAATGAGTTCTTAATTTGATAAAAAATAATAACTCGTCCTTAATTTGATAAATATTTAATGAAAGGTTTGTAAATAAATTTTAAGTATTTTTTTATCAAATTTAAATTTGATAAAAAAAAGAAGATGAAACATTAGAAATGATCAAAGACACTACTGTACTCCTTGTGCATTCAACCATTGGTGTCACATAATAAAAATTGAGATTATTTGAGCTTCAATCTCACCCGTGCCAATAATTCAATTGAAAATTTTTGAGATCAACTCAAAAACTAAACAAATTAAGTGTTAATATATTTTGAAACTTAGGCCAAGTTTGGCATGATTGAAAAAAGATAAAAAGTCAAAAAGTCACTATCCTATTTAAGTCACATCATCTTATTTAAGTCGCATCACCTCTCTAACACATCACTTCAAACCCAACCCATATTTCATAAAAAGTCAAAAAGTGCACTTATTTAGTCTTCCCAAACTAGGCCTTACTAATTTGTTAGGTCAAAAGTGGAACAATTTACTCAACTTGCTTACAAGTTGAGGCCGTTCAACTCACTTCAAAATCTACCTTACGATCCAAATAATTTATGTTGTGAACATGATTGAATAAAGTATTTAGGTAAAAAATTAAAAATTAATAGATAGTGATTGAATTATGTTTGATGAATGTAATTCAATCAACTAGCAAGATAAAATGATTGAATCATTTTAAATGCGGAGATTTTTTTATTTTTTTATTTTAGACGTAAGTTGGATAAAAAAATAAATATAGAGGGGTGCAAGTACTTACATATTCGCAATTTTTCACTTGTAACTTATCACAGAATCATTTACATCCTTTATATTTTTATATTTTTTTTTTCTGTCCCACTGTCAAACATTTCTCCTAAATATTAATGTATTAGAGCGTCTTCAACGCTTACGCTTTTCTTTCATCAAATTTAAATTTGATGAAAAAATCTAATTTTGGTACTCCAATCATAATATCAAATTGAGGATGTTTTAAAAGTTTTATCAAATTGAGAATACCTAGAACATTTGATCAAATTTGTAAGTTATCGTTAGGTGGACATCCTTCTAGACAAACTCTTTCTTGCAAAATTATTGTGCACTTTGTGGTCAATTTATACCAAACTAGTCGATCGGCCAAACAGCTGCTTAACTATCTTTTCGATCGATCAATATTTTGAGAAAAATTTTGAACTTTATGTTAAAACGCACAATATTAGCTGCTTAACTATCTTTTCGATCGATCAATATTTTGAGAAAAATTTTGAACTTTATGTTAAAACGCACAATATCAGGTGAAATTTTTACGTTTAGTGGAAAAACAACTTCCAAGATAGTAAGGCCTTGTTTGGTGAAATTTTTTAAAAATTAAAAGTTAATAATCAGAAAGCATAAACTAAAAATACCTCTAAACCAACTTTCAAATAATTAATTTTTTTAAAATTATTTAAACTATTTCTGCTAAATAAATTATAAGTAGAATTTACACTAAATAATTTAACACAAAATCTCAAATCAAAATAAATTATAACCACCCAAAATCTATAACAAACCGTCCCTAAGTTTAGATTATAACACAACCTACAAAATTGTATTGTAGTCACTCCCTCAACTCAAATTCTGAATCTCCGAAGACTCTGCTCACTGCGGTAGACTAAAAAATTAAGGAACTTTCCTTATTGGAACTATCCCACAGTTGTTGTGATTTGATTTGAGACCGACAACTCTGTATATGTATATAGTATTATTATTTAACATTAATCATTTGATCAGATGGTTTTCATCGTCGTTTGACCATCAAATCCTTTCTTCTCCATAGATCTAATTAGCTTGATATCAATTCAATTCCTTCCAAATCTTTAAGCTCTCATCAATGGTGGATCCTCATCTACTTCCAGAACCATCGAAACCCCAGAACCAAACCCCTCTTCTAACCAACCCCACAGACCAAACCCAACAACAACAACAAAAGCAAGAACAAAACCCAGAACCAGATTGCGATACCCATCTCGATAAAACCCTCCAAAGACTCGAATCGTTTCTCTCTCTTCTGGGTTTCAATCAGTCCTCTGTTCTGAGCTTTGTGCTCTCGTGGGTCGCGTTTTTGCTGATCGGCGTTGCTCTTCCTGTGATTGCGCTTGAGGTTTCGGACTGTTCGGGCTGTGAAGCTTACCAAATCAAGGATTTCGAGCTCGAGATCGTTGTTTCGCAGGCGTGTTTGGCTGCTGTGTCTCTGCTTTGCCTCTCTCACAATCTGCGCAAGTATGGTATTCGGAAGTTTCTCTTTGTTGATCGGTACAGTGGTCAAATGGCTCGGTTTCGCGACGAGTACATTCGAAAGGTTTTGGTAAGCACTTTCGATTTCAATATATATATATATATATATGGTAAGGATTGATGATATAGGATTGAATTAGTTCAACAATTGACAATTGAATATACCTTGTTTTGAGTGTGTTGAACTGCTGTTAAGGAAGGTACAGTTTTTTTTCTTAAGCAATTTGTGTATGAAGTGTATGTTGACATTTTAGCATTCTGTTTGGGTTGGGTGATTTGGAGAGAAAATGAGGGAAAAAAACTCTCCCCCCTGTATCACCTGTTTGGATAGTTTATAAAAAGGGTAATGTGGAGAAACCATAATCTAATTCAATTGATTGACAGTTGAATATACCTTGTTATGAAATCTTGTATTGATGATAAGGGAACTTCAGTTTTCTTAAGCAATTCGGATATGAAGCGCATGTTCACATTAGCAGTCTGTTTGGAGTGGGTGAATTGGGGAGAAAAGGAGAGTGGGGATAAAAAGTCTCTCCCCCCTGTACTACCTGTTTGGATAGTTTGTAAAAGAGAAATGGGGAGAAACCATAAGCCCTTTTTTTTTTTTTTTTTTGATAACCGGGTGTCTGGGCCAGCTTACACACTCCATAAACCCTTATAACCCACATTTTGAATCTAATTTTGTTGTTAAGGCTTCCAATTTTTCTCTTTACTGTCGGCTTTGTAGAACTTAATTGAACCGGTTAAAAAAAGTATCGATACTTGAGGTGTGTTCACTTATGCAATGCTTGCAGATTGGATGAAATAAGTTAGTTTGGGAGATGAGGCGGAACACACAATGCAGCTATGAAGCACTGACACCTCTCCGGAGACAGTGTATGGGTGTCGGACACGTGTTAGACAAATGGTGGACATGTGTCGGACACGCAGTCGGCACGTGTCGGACACTCTACCTAGCATGGCCCCCTTTTTTTTTTGAATTTTTCCAACTGGACACGCCTGGGACACTCTTGGACACGTTGTGGACACGTTAGAGAGAGAGAGAGAGAGAGAGAAACCCTCACACGTTGAATATATATCTATATATATATATATATATGTATGCCCATGCATTATTTTTATATATATCTATATATATATATATGTATATATATAGAGAGAGAGAGAGAAGAGAAAGGGTGAAGAACCTGTTGAAACCCTAAATCGAGGTATGTTCTTTGAATCTGTCTTCGTTTCTTTAAATAGGTTATTTGTTCTTCTTTTCTTCTTCGTTTTTCTTCTTCTTCTATTCGTCTCTCTCTGTGTGTCTGTGTGTTCGTCTCTCTCTCTCTCTCTCTTTCACTATGTGTTCAACTTTGTCTCTCGCTTGTGTTCAACTCATCGACTCCGTCTCTCGCTTGTGTTCGACTCTGTCTCTTCTTTTTGCATGTTTGACTCTCTCTCTCTCTCTCTCTCTCTCTCTCCTCTGTTCTATTCTTTTTTTTTCCCTCCTCTCTCTCTCCTAACATTTCCCTAATATATATATATATATATATATATATATTAACAAAAAAAACCCCTCTTCCCCCCCCCCCCTCTTTTTCTTTTTTTTTTCTATTTTTTGAGTATTCTTATTTGCTCAACCTGAACATACATAGAATAAATTATTTTTATTTGTAAAAAAATTAATTTGTAAATGATATTTGAATATTAAAGTAAATAAATAATATATATATATATATATGTATATATTTTTTTAATTTTACATGTAATAAATAAATAAAATTATATATATTAAGCGTGTCCCTAACGTGTTGTGTTCTCCGTTTTTTTAAAATTTGTGTGTCCGCATGTCCGTGTCATGTCCGTGCCTCATAACAATGCAGCTGTTAAATAGACTAGGTGGATAAAGAGAGATTGGGGGAGGAGAACATTTCTGTCAAGCAATATAAGAACTGCACCTTATGTGACAGCTTCTTCTCCAGTTCGCCACCACACAATTTCATTTGGTTTGTGCCATGCTAGCCCCATACCAGCGTGAAATGGATAGTTACAATTGTACCAGTCACTATAATGCTCAAATGTGTCATTCCCTCCAGAGTAAACCTTGCTAGGCCAGAATCTTCCACACCTTAGGTTCAAAATGCTCATCCAAAAGTATATTAGGTTGGGCACTGTAATGCAAATATGCCAACTCACAATCTGTCTCTATTGCTATCTTTTGGCGAATCGGCCAACTGAGACTCTTCTACTCCCTCAACTCGACCTAAAGAGTTGATCATGAAGACTACCATTCTACATCAACTCACACAATTATCTGCTGGTGGTCTTCTAAAGAAGCAATAGCAGAGCAATACCCTCTCAAAGGCACAAGATTTATATGCCAAACACCGGCAATAACCTCCATCTCATGCACAAAACTTGTGTCACTTGCCACCAAAAAAATTCTTGAACAATTCATGGCAATAACATCCACCTCTCTCTCTCCCTCTCTCTCTCTCTCTATTTTATAGACCATGGGTAAATTATGTTTCTGTTAGCTCCATTAGTGGAGATGTCCAGCACCATAGGAAGGGAATTATTAGTCAGAAACCTCAGGGGATGTCAGTGTAATTTATCCTTAAAACTATGGTCTTTTAAGTATGGATTTTGAATATTGAATCAAGTTCAATCTCCTATTCTCCTGCTTCTAGGACTATATTTGTGGAATCAGTATAAACTAAGTGTGCTGCTAAGATGGACATTGACTGCCTCAAAGAATCAGTGTTTTGTTTTTTTTGCAAGTTGCCGCTGATAACAGAAAAAAATTACTTAAAAAAAAAACAAAAAAACAAAACAAAAAAAAAAAAAAAAAAAAAAAAAACAAAAACAGAAGAAGAAGAAGAAGAAGAAGAAGAAAAGAAAGGGTGAACTAGTCAACTGAAAATCTGTAACGACAAGTAAAGTATTTGTTTACTGCATACTGCATACTGCATACTGCATACTGCATATCTGCAATTTAGGCAATTGACCGCTTACTGATTTCCAAGCAAAGTGCACACATACTATGATTATTATTCATAAATTGATCTCACCCTTTGATTTCAAACCTTTCTGACGAATATAGACTATGTATTGATCCCCCTCTCCACAATTATATTTGCCAACTAGTAGAGCACTCTTGTAAGTGATCGGCTAGCCATGTTACTCCCAGGCTTATAAATATAGACTATATAGTTGTTCAGTTCTCACAATATTTGCAACTCTAATCTATGATTCTATAGTCTGATACATCAATTCAGATATTTTCTTGGGAATTTTCAAGCTTGATGCAGTAACTAAGGAAGTCGTATGAAATCATTTTTTTTTTTTTTTGCAGGATACAGCCCACTATCTTGTATGGTGGATACTGCCATGTTTCATTCTGAAGACTGCACGTGAAATCGCCCGCATTTTATATGGTCCTCATGAGTCATGGTGGCTATCTGTTGCTATTTTATTAGCTTTGATCATATCATGGATTTACGTAACTACAATCTATCTTTTTGCTTGCATTTTGTTCCATTTGGTCTGCAACTTGCAAATTATTCACTTTGATGATTATGGGAAGTGCTTAGAAAAAGAATCTGATGTTATGGTGCTTATAGAGGAGCACATTCGTCTGCGTCATCACCTCTCTAAAATAAGCCATAGATTCCGAATATATCTTCTTTTGGTGTTCCTGGTTGTCACCGCAAGCCAGTTTGTGACCCTATTCCAGAGCACAGGTTATAGTGGACCAATTACTTTTACAAATGGTGGTGATTTTGCTGTAAGTTCAGTGCATCATATTTATTTATTTGTCTAGATAAACCATGCACGTGTTTTTTCATAGTTCTTGACTCCGAAATGTATTGGTAATTGTGAAGTTTCACATGCTAGGAAGTTAAGACTTGCCACCTAATTGCGTAGTTTAATGCTCCTACTGAAAAGAAACAAACACTTGAATCCACACTTGACATTATCATCGAACTCATTACTTGTTTTAGTTTTCCTGGTGGCTTAAGTTACCACCTAGTGGCTTAAGTTAGATTCAAAGTTTCTGAAAACAGCACCTTGCAATCAACTTTCTGTTGAAGTGGTCCAACTTCTACATATGTGTGTGTTTACATTGATGTAATTGATTGTTCATTCAATCCTTACCGAATAACATTCAGGGAATGAACGAATGTGCAGTGGAGCTTTTGCACTAGTCATATATACAGTGCATACAATCTTTGTGTTGGAGAGTTTGATATACATTGTTGGGCCCATTTGCTAACAGTTTAAGCTCTTGAGACTAGTGTTGATCTAACATGGGGGAGATCTTGGGTTTATGTTTCTCTATTTGCATTCTTTCTTCTCTGTATGCATGATGTTTGCATCATCACGTGCAATGTGGAATTGTAGGTGAAGGAGCGTGTTGGAGAGCTTGATTTTCATTGTTGAACCCATATAGAGGAGTTTGCCATTGCCTTTTTTAGTGACTTTTTGACTTTTTTAGAATCTAAAAAAGTTGGTGCGTTTGGAAAGTTTCGGAGTGTTTTTTTTTTTTTTTGTGAGTGGAAAAGTTGTGAGTGGCTTTTTAGCCCTTTTAGCTGATGATAAACATGCTTTTGGCTCAGTTAAAAAAAAAACAAGCTTTTGGCTTATTTAGCTCACCCCAAACTTGGTCTTACTAACAGCTTAAGCATTTGGGACTAGTGGTAATCTAGAACTTTGGTCTTATTTGACTTTATTTTTGGTTTTCCAGGTCTCATCAGTTGTTCAGGTTGTGGGCATAATTCTTTGCTTAAATGCGGCAGCCAAAATTTCCCATAGAGCACAGGGCGTTGCATCGCTAGCAAGTAGATGGCACGCTGCGGTGACATGCAGTTCTCCTGATGCATCTCAGTTGAGTGTTTCAAATAGTGTGGGAAGCTTGGAGGCTGCCAATGCATTGCGCTCATTATATATAGTTAACTCGGAAAGTGATTTGGAGTCACTAGATTATATTCCAAGGCCTACAAATACACAATTGGCTTCTTATATGTCCTCATACCACAAGAGACAATCCTTCGGTATGTAAATCAACTTTTATTGCTTCTGTATTTCATTGGGCTTACGTATTTTTATTGTTTCTGTATGTCATTGGGCTTACATGGCAGCGAAGAGAGGCCTTTCTCTCAAAAATTGCACTTGTCAACAGAAACTTGCAGACATTCTTGCTTTGGATATAGGCAACAACATTACATCTCTTGTTTGGTATGAGTTAACGCCCAAGCTTTGAAACATGAACATGTGGCATCTTAATACTCAACCGAAGCAGTGGAACCTCAGGAGCCATAAATGAAACAACATAGAATATGACAACCTACCTCTAATGTAACATGCTTTTAATCTCAAGAAAAGCACCAAAAGGTGTTTTAGTGGCATCCTTTAATGTACCTCATGACTCATGGCGTCCTTAGACACCGGGAACTAAATAGTCTATAACCACTAGTGACCAAATAGTTGTAGAAATGAACCTATGTATGTAAATTCAAGATGTTCCTCTGATGTGTTATCCTTGACAAGCTGTTTATGTTTCACCTATACCTGTGACTAGACAAGGTAAATTTGCAACCAAAATGACTAAATGCAATTAGTGCAAACAATAGTGGTGAAATTTTCCAGAATCATTATAGCAGTTGAGCTTCTATTTTATCAAAACTTGAAACAATTGTAGCGCTCTCTCTCTCTCTCTAATAAGTTCAGGTCACCTAATTCATCACAATTTTAACACTTGGTGGTATCATAATTACATGCTTTATTTGGTTGATAGTCCTTCGAATGCATAGTGAACTTTTTTGTTCTAATTTTTTTTTCTTAGTAACCCTATTTAATGTTTCTTTTTCTGTGGAAATTACAATTTTAACCCATGTTCGTGCAATTGTTTCAATGGCTATGCAGTGATGTACTTGCAGACCAATCCTGGCGGTATCACAATATTTGGATGGACAGTTGACCGTGGTCTTATCAATACAATATTCTTTATTCAACTCTCATTAGTACTCTTTGTACTCGGGAAGACCATAGTTTTAGCTTCAGAATGACTAATTCTTTCTCTCATATCTGCCACAAAAGAACCTCCATTCAAAATCGTGTTTCTGATCAGACCAATTCACAAGGTAAGATCATTGATCTACTTCCATGTTATGTTCACGGCTTGGGCTACCAGATTGAGATCATTCCAAAACATTCTTCACTTCCACCTTTTGATCACTCCCCATGACAATCATCAGAAAAGATGCTCGCCTTTGATACTTAATGCCTTCGTTGAAAACTCCGATGAGCGCGGGGGGAGGGGGGTGTATAGCTAATTATTTAGGTCACCCTATGCTTTTTACTTGTTTGAGTTGTATTGTAAATAGTACACGATGGAGGTTTACTAGTAAATATCGATTCCTTTGAAGTTAAGGGACAAAGTAAATGTATACATTTGGTGGGTATGGAAAGATATTTAACCGTGTATTTTGTTTATTAAAATAGTTGTCATGACTGGAAACTTCCAACCTTGGAGACAACATTTGTAGAAATTTAACCGAGACCCTGTGTATCGTAGAAATCTGCAAGAAATCAGCGCCGCAAATGAGCCAAAGTCAAGTCGAGCTTTGTAGGGCTCGAGCTTGAAAATCTAGCTCCATGGGACAGGTTTGAAGTGGGTTTGTCACCCCCCCACGTGAAATTTTTTAACTCCATTCCCGCACCCGCGAATACTCGCAGATATCTGACAACATTTCAAATAATCAAAAAAATTTAGAACCATTTAAATTCTTAACACACTAAATATTTTTTCTTATTTTTATATATATAAACAGTATGCCTTTTAAGATTATTATTTATTTGTATTTAAAACGAATCAAAAACTTTTAATATTCCTTTATATCTAATTATATTATATATATACATATATATTATTTATTTATATAATTTTTTTAGTTAGGAAAAATTACAAACACATTTTTTGAGGTTTATTTAAATTACAAATTGCTCCTTGTAGTTTTAAAAATTACATTATGTCCTCTCAGGTTTTTAATTTTACAACAAATATATCTTTTTATTAATAAATCATCAAATTAATCAACAGTTTTTAATATTGTTAAAATTTTATTTCAATTAATAATTCAGATAGTTTTATTATTGTATAAGTAAACGGTTAGAATTTTTATTTTTTTAATTGATTTTGTTAAATAAAAAATTTTGACAAAGAAATATTTATAATTTTTCAAATTACATGAGACAATTCATATTTTAAATAAATTTTGGGAGGTATATTTGTAATTTACTCTTTTAATTATATCGGATCAGGTTTGGATCGGGAGGGATGATACCCGCCCCTATCCCACCCCTCTTTGCATGTGACTAAACTATAATTCACTCTCGCTTCACATAAGTGTCAGGTTGGATAAAATCTATCCTATTTGGACAAATATGGGCAGACCTTCACAAATCAGATTAAATAGTCATTCTTAAACTCAAGCTCAGCTTAGTAACTAAACCAAAATTTTAAAAAATTCGCCAACAGTCTTCAAAGGAAGTTTTATATAATGTATTACTCAACAAGATGACCTCAGATTATTAAAAATATATATATATATATATATATGAAGGAGATGGATTACGAAATCAAAACATATAATTTTAAAACAAAAAATAATTTAAAACAAAACATCTAATTTAAAACATTTTTATTACAGAAAATAACTTACAATTACACGAACTGCAAGGATCTTGAATGGTTACAGCACAAGGGTGTTGGTTTCACTCAGAGCTCTTAGATTACAGATTTTTCTAAGTCTGCCGAATGGATCCAACTTGATTCCATTATATACAAAATAAAGAAAATAAAACAATAATTAACTGGAGAAAGCAGGTGGCAGCGCATGAAGAAAAGCAGATGCTGTCGGTTGCTTTTGGTGGATTCATTGAATATTTGAACAGCTTTAAACAAAAGTTAACTGGGTGAATAGTGACAGTGAACAGTAAAAGTGAACAGTAACTTTCACTATTCATCACTTTCGGTGAATTATGTGAATAATGGAATCAATATAAATACAAATTGGCAGCTTTTCTCAAAAGAGTATTGATTGAAGCTAATTTGTATTTATGTATGGAATCCAAGGTTGATTAAACAAATGGATCCTGAGCATCTTGAAACTCAGGTCCTGAATACTGATTGGTTGATTCTTCAGAGGAATGGATCTGGACTGAACCGTCTGAATTGTCTGAATCGGTGGATTGAGCTTTAGCTTGATTCAACAGTTGATGGGCTAACTGGATCATGTCTTCTTTGGATGATTGGGCTTTACCTTTGGATTTGCCTTTGGGCTGAACAGGAGGTGGAATGGGCTTTGTCTTGACTTTGGACTTTGATTTGGGCTTTGATTGGGCTGGTTGAGCAGCAACGGCTTTGGACTTTGTTTTGGATGATTTGGGCTTGGAGCCACTAGATGAGGGGCTTCCAAGATTGATTGGAGGAAGACTAGGCTGACTTCCTTGAGTAACTACAGCAGTTGGGTTCTGCTGGGCTTTAGCAAGAGCAGGAGTTGGAGCACATTGATCAGGTGGGAATTCTTCTTGAACAATTTCAAGAATTCTGGGAACATTGAACTTAACCCACCATTTAACTGTGTGTTGGCGGATGATAATATTATCATCAATCCCATATTGCCATTTGAATATCCATGGAATCTTGTATTTGGCAATGAATATGAGTAATAAGGGAAATTGCCGTTGGTGAGTAGAAAATGGGTAAACAGAGGCAAAATAATGAATTATGTGACTGAGATCATCAGGGAGAATATCTGAAATGGCGCCATAGTGAGACCACCATCTCAGAAACCAAGTTGGTAACTCAGATTTAAATTTTTGATCAAATGAGATGAACCAGGAATGACTAAAAGTTTCATTTTGGTACAAGAAAATCTTGAACCAAGCATCAACATAATCATGATAATTGTATGGAATAGAATGACCAGGTAGATCACGAAGCTGGTTAGGATTTCCCCATTCAGCCATGGAAACAATGTGGTGAATATAAAGTGAATGGTATAGGACCTTATAAGCAGGCATAGGTGCGGTCTGAATTGGTTTGATCAAAATGGAATGGTGATTGATTAGGATATCTTTGTAGTAGGCTAGGGTTTTTTCTGGATGGGAAAGGGTGAAATGGCATCCAGAGCCAAATGGAATTTAGCGATGTCATTAATGGTTTGATTTCGTGGGTGACTGGGTTCTTTATAAAAGGGTTAGTAACGTGTGAATTGGTATATTCAGACCTAGAGGATTTAACAGGGTTGACTGGGAATGGAGTAACTGAAAACTGATTGGCTAGATACAAAAGGATCAGAAGCCAATGCAGATGAATAATCAGGACGATGAATAGTACCAAGGGTTTGGTAACGGTTAATGAGGTCGAGTGAATAAGAGGGGGTAACTGACCTG